ATGTTTCTCTCTCACATTGATGTTTTTCTCCCTCTCTCTCTCCCATCCCCTCTCTCTATAATCAATAAGCATGTCCTTGGGGGAGGGAGGGAGGGAGGGAGGGAGAAAGAAAGAGAAGAAATTGGGGGAATGATCTGTGGAGTTTAACCAAAGAAATTTTGATGTTGACATCTTTAAATTTTAACCTACAAGGGTAAGGTTTCTTAAACTTTGGGTTTTAATTTATCCTTAGCAATTTAATAATGGGGTAAGTAATTTTAAATTTGGAGTAGTACTCTATTAATAATTTATTTGACTGCACAACATCTGGCCAGCTTATATTGGAATCTTCTTCATTAGAGATAGGAAAAGAATCAAGAATGAGTTTTTGGCCTAGGGACGACCAGGCTTTGGGGTTAATTTAACTTCTGTACTGTTCTGACCTATTTTAGAGATTTTAAGGGATGAAAACTAAACTGCCCATCTGTGATTCTAGGATGTCACACAACAGAGTAGTAGCTGCCAATGAAGGAGGTTGAAAACTCCAACAGTAATGATAAAAGAAATTAAAAAGTAAGTGAAAATTTAGCACTAAAGAACTTCCCTGTGGTTATTAGCATGTGTTTTACCAAATCTTCAAGGAATAGATAATTTCCATGTTTTACCAATGGTTCCAGAGCCTAGAAATAGACAGAAAGCTACTCAACTTATTTTTAACAGTTTAAAATAATGCGGAAGCCAAAAAAAGAGAACACAAGAATATAAGACTATACGCTAGTATAACTTGAGACTGCAGGAACAAAATCTCTTGATAAAATATTAACAAATTGAATCTAGCAGCGTATTAAAAGAATTATGACTCCACAAGATTTAATCCCAGGAATGCAAAAAGGCTTAACATTAATTAGTAAACCTATTATTGTAATGTACTACAATAATAAAATAAGAAAGAAAATAGGCATGATTATCTTTAGAGAGGCACTTGATAAAATTTAATAGCCATTCCTGATAATACTCTTAGGAAACGAAGAGTAGAAGAAAATCTCCTTAATTTGATAAAGAATATTTCTACATGGTGGAACAGAAGCTTTCCCATAAAAAATACAAAGATGCTAGATATTATTACAATTGGATTGAAGATCTTAGGCAGTGAAATTCAATAACAAAAATTAATGAGTTTTATTAGCAAGAAACAAAACTATCATTATTAGTAGACAATATGATTATAGTTTAAAATGCTACAAAATCATCTTTCAAAAATAATGCTTAGAACTATCTTGAGTGGGATGTTGTTTTACAAGAATATACATTTTGCAAAGCACATTGAATTGTATATTTGATATATGTGCATTTAACTGTATGTAGATTTTACCTCAAAAACCATTAGGACTAATAAGAGAGATCACTGAAATGTCTGACTGGATTAAAGATTAACATGAAATAAATCAATAGCTCTGAAGAATGGAAAAAATTCCATTCACAAAAGCAACCAAACCAATGAGGCATCTTGAGATAAATATAACATGAAACATATAAGACCTACATGAAGAACCCTGTGGAATTTTATTAAAGGGCAAAAATAAAAAGATCTGAGTAAATGAGTTCTATGTTCATATAAGAGAGATTCAATGTTTTTTAAAAAGTCAATTCTCTCCAGATTAATCTGTGTTTTTAACACAATCCCAGTCAGAATCCCAAGTTTGTTTGATTGTCTCTCCTGGATATTAAAAGAGCAGGTTACCTTCTTTGTTCTTCTTTTCCAGATTTGGACATTGGTACTCAGTTGTTCTTCCAGATGAATTGTGGTCAGCGATCCATTCTCCAGGCCTTGAACTTGGTGCCCTTCTCTCATTCACACCAAGGTGCCCCATAGACAAGGAAAGGCCTTGTGAAATGTGTGGTTGGAGGAAGTAGCCTTAAACAAGAAGGAAAAGACAAAAACCATAAGGAAAGATTGTATCTGACTACACCAAAATTTTTAATTTCTATATGACAAAAAAGACTGCGTAAGTGAGGTTAAAATGCAGTTGTTGAGAAGAACAGAAATAAACAGTACTAAATTGCATCTAAATATTTGTGGTCATTTACATTTTGCTGTAAAGTATATTATCTCTAAAATAGAATGTAATGATGTGGGCAAAGGATTAAAAAGATTTTATTCTTCGGCAGGACAATTCGACCTTCAGTTTACTTTCTGTTATCTGTCCCTCTGAAACCTGATAAAGATAGAATTGTCAACTATTTCCTTAGCCAACAAACATTACTTATATTAGAGCAATTACCTGATTGGTAAATTGCATTTGGACTGGCAAAACTATAATTACCTGATGGGAGAGCATAGCTTTGGGCTTTCCTGAGTGTGAAAACTCTTTAATTGGGCCCTGGTGGGTCCCTGGAAGCTGTGTCTGGGAGGTTGGTACAAGAAACACTGGCTCTCAGTCAGGGCAGCTGCTGCAGGAATGGGGTGTAAGTCGTCTTTCCTTGCACCTGAGCTGCCACTAGGCTGCAGGCAGGTTTGGAAGGAGCAGCTGAATGATTATTACAAGTACTCCCAGGGATGTGGAATGCCTAATTCAGTCCTGCTCCAAAGGACAGAATGAAAGGACAATGACAGGTCACTGTTTGTCTTTCCACTTCATTTTCCATGCTCACACAAACACATGTAAAGACATATGTGTCGTGTCTTTATATGTGTCATGTAGGTTAGTTTGTTTTGATGTCAGGCTGCATATGTTACTCTGCAATGCTCTTTTTCACTTAACACATTATGGACATCTCTGCAAGTTCTTACATATAGATCCAACTCATTATTTTTAATAATAGCATAATATTCTAAAAGAATTAGCTCTTTTCCTATTGATGGACATTCAGGCTGTTTCCTTTTTTTCTTTTTAAAAACCACTACAAACAATGCTGCAATAGATAGCAGTGTACTATAAATCCATATTAATGCCTTCATTTTTGGACAAAATTGTAGGGTTCTCTGGGTCAAAGGATTGGTGATGTGCAGTATTAATTTCAATAACTACATCCCAAAGAGCATGTTGTAACTTATGCTTCTGCCCCTTCCCCAAATCTTTGCCTGCCAAGGATGTTCGCAATCTTTTTCATTTTGCCAGTCTGAGGATGAAAAATATCTTTTAACTGTACTCTTCTTTGCTTGCCCCCACCAATCTATTCTCCACTCTGCAGACAGTGATCTTGAAAAACAAATTTTACTACATCACTTCCCTGCTCAAAATACTTCATTTATTTCCTGTCACTCTTAGAATAAAGGCCAATATCTTTGACATGACAAAAAAGCACCTCGTTGTGTAATCGTCCATCTGTCTCTCTGGTGGGCTTTTCTCCCAAAGGGTAGGGCTTTCTCCAGATCTAACTCTACTGAGAAATTAAGATGACATTAGCTTGTTTGCCGGAACAAGCCTCATAGGGAGTTATGCCTTTAAAAATGTGACTAGCTTATGCCTGAAAGGAATAATTATTTCTATTTTATTTGCCTTGATGGAAGTGTTTTTCCAGTTGCTTCAGGCAGAGCATTTAGAGTAAACAGGGAAGCACAGGACTTGTCAAAAAAACATGTTAGGGCGACACCTTGGCTCCGGAGGAATAGGTACAAAGTCTGATCATAAATGCAGGGGGTTTTTGCTTCTCTTGTTTTTAAGTTGGACTTTTCAAGTAGAAGCTGCCTTTAATGTGCTGGTTTGCAGAACAGGAAATCTGATTTTTCAGTGTGATAACACATTCTTTGACATTAACCAGTGCAGTTGGATTTTTAATGACACTTTTATCTTCAAAGTCCTTCACCAACACTGGTGGATTAATTATTCGGGTTGTTTTTTTTTTTTGGTTGTGTGTTAAAAAGAAAAGTCTTCAAAGCCTCATCCTTTCTCCTAGGAACTGGGGCTCTCCACCTTTCAAATGTTGCTTTCCTGCCCCCAAGGGAGAAAATAAATCACATTTAAAAAAAAAAGAATACAATAGAAATATATGCTTTACACTATGGGAAGATGATGTCCTTATATCCTGGGTGGGATTAGAAGAGGTCGGAAAGCAGTGTTTAAACTGTGTTTACAGTAAGCACTGTGAGATACAGCTCTGGTGAAAAGTGTTTGTTACTGCTCAGTCTTTTGATTTGCTCCTGAAAAGTAGCACAAATACAAAAAGCGCTCTGCTTTCACCATATGTTGGAGTGTAAGAGGCAGACCCTTACATTTGTTGCTAAAGTATATTTCATTCCTGTTCCCTTCAAACAATGTCTAATTGGGTTTTTAAAAGATTTGGTTTTGGAGAAGAAAACCCTCAAGCCTTCCCCTGGGTTCTCCGTGATTTGACACATTTTATAACCACAAGGGAGCAGTCTTTCTTTTGATGAGGTCTTCCCTCCACCTCCCCAGAAATGAAAGAGCAAGTGTAAGTTTGCAAACAGTCTAAAAGCCCTTTCCATTAGCTCTGGACGCCGGAAACCACAAAGGGCAGTTCAAGTTTTGATTTTCACGGAGAAAGCCTCTGGTAAACTTTCGCTCAGCCGCCAGGAGGTCTGTTGGTTCCTGGGAGGAGCTCTTCTGAATCCTTGAAGATTCCTGTGCTCTTGAAGACCCAGATCAGTGGATTACAGTAATTGTAAACCTTAGGTGGCGTCGGAAGATTACTCTGTTTGGTGTGCGCTCACATTTCCAGGCTAGGGGACCGAGCAGAGGAACCCCTTTTGTTATTTTTTGAAAGAAGAAGATCAGAGAGGAAGACGGGGTTTGAAGTGTGGATTAGTGCTCCTCAATCTTCGCCTAGTACCTCCGTCTGGAACTTTATAAAGAGAATGAGGAGTGCAGTGCATTTACAAAATCATGCAAAGTTTCCTTGAAACCTGTTCCGGAACGCAGCTTCCGGACCAGAAACTTCTCCCAAAACAGACCTTCTGTGCCAGGCAGTCTGAATGGACCGTCATCTCCGCTTTGAAGATTTGTACCCTGATTTTCTGCTGAGAGATTAACTTCTTGGGTGATCTGTTGGTTTGTCGGCGAATGATGGAGAAACGTAAACCAGCCGGACTGCTCACCTTGCCGTACCACCTCCACTCGGTGCCCCTGAGCCTGCCAGGGACCCTGCCCCGCCTCCCTCTGAGGGACCCCTTCAGGGTCTCCTTGCATCTGGATGACGCGCGCTGCGCCCCGAGACGGCCCTACCTGCCCCTGCCGCTGGACGGCGCCTTCGAGCCCGCCTTCCTCCGCAAGCGCAACGAGCGCGAGCGGCAGCGGGTGCGCTGCGTGAACGAAGGGTACGCGCGCCTCCGAGACCACCTGCCGCGGGAGCTGGCCGGCAGGCGCCTCAGCAAGGTGGAGACGCTCCGCGCCGCCATCGGCTACATCAAGCATCTCCAGGAGCTGCTGGAGCGCCACGCGCAGGGGCAGGAAGGCCCAGCCGGCCCCCCGCGCAGGCCGGAATGCAACAGCGACGGCGAGTCCAAGGCCTCGTCCGTGCCTTCGCCCTGCAGCGAGCCCGAAGAAGGGGGCAGCTAGCGAGCGCCGGGACCCCCGCCCCGTGCCCGGCCCCCGCTGCACCGCGCGCCTTTGCAGTCTGCTCTAAGGTTCTCTACGAAGGGGGTTGCATTTTTACTCTGATTGTTTCTCCAGGGGAAAAAAAAATCGTAGGAAAAAGAAATTAGTACTTTAAGCGGAAAATGATATTCTGACATTCTGGTTGGATTCTCCCCCTTTTTATTGGCTTTGTGCCTGCAACTTAAAGGTGCTTATTAAGGAAACTCTTCCGTACTTCTCAAATGCAAACTGTACCAGACTCTGAGCACCTCATTCTAAAAATTTAAGGGGCAGTAGCAGCGGGAATTTCCCACTGTCACTGGTGCGTAAATGATGTACATAAATACTGAAATAAATCCAACCTTAACCAAAGAAGAACTTCCCAAAAATAAATAAATAAATGACAGTTCTTAAGATGAGAGGAACGTTTTCCTGCATTCCTTCCTTTGGGGTTTATACTAGAAATGTAATCGGCACCGTGCATTGGGTCAAGGTGACTCGAAGCTGACACCTGCCAACATATTTGTCAGCGCGCGCTGCTAGACCAGTCCGTGCTGTTGGCGGAAGACGTGAACCGTGGGTCTAGAGAGGACGTTCTATATTTGATACATCCTGTTTTATCAAAAAGTGGTTATTTGGAAGCTTCATTGAATTTAGCAGATCACATGCTAGTGCCAATGATCTTTTTGGAAGAGAACTCCGAATTGTATGAAAACATCTTTCATGTCAGTTGTTTTTGTCCACTGTTTTTTGTTTTTGTTTTTTTGTTTTTCTCAATTTACTTTTCCTTGCATCGTCCCTAGTCGTTCTTATTCAATTTTTGGTTAAATTGAAGTTGACACTATTATTTTATTTTATTTTTTTATAAGTACATGCTTAGATGGTTGAACGGGACGGACTGGGGTTGGTCCATTCTCAAACTTTCATCACAATGACAACATCGAGGTATATTGAAATTATCTAGTGACTTACTTTGGCTTGTTCTAGTCTTTTAAAAATACTTAGTTCTAGTCGTTGTTGTTTCTTTTCTTTTTCTTTTTCCTCTGCAAAACAATTATAGATCCAGAGATAAGTAGAAAACCTGACATATCGTGTGGCTTAGTGGGTTGAGCGAAGGACCACCGGTTGGGGCACAGGCCTGGGTTGCAGCTCGCCCAATCGGGGCGAGTTGGGGAAGCAGCCCATCGGTGTTTCGCTCTCGCACTGATGTTTCTCTCCCTCTCCTCCTCCCTCACTTCCCCCCTCTCTCTAAAAATAAATAAATAAGATATTTTTTTTAAAAAAAACTGGCACAAGAAGATAAATTTCCTCTCTCTAAAGTTATTTTGTAATTTGCTGAATTGCCCTGTCCATGCAGGCGGCTTTGGTACCGGGCTGGGGAGCGGGGTTCGGAAATTGACAAGGGGACACAACCGACAAGGGGGAGCCTTTTCAGAAAACTGTTCCGCTTAACCCGGATGCTGGTCTCATGGGGTGCGTTTATTGCCCTCTTTTTACAGATGTATCAACCGAGGGAAGCTAATATTCAGTGAACATCTTGTACATGCCAGGAATTATGTTGTGTGTTTTTAAATATTTTGTTCTGTTCAATTTTCATTAAAACTGTGAAATGAGTATTACATGTATTTTGTGATTTGGGAAAAATGAAGCTGAAAGAGATCGCCTGCCTTGCCCAGGTCAATGTTGCTACAGTTAGTTGAGTTGTAATGCAGTCCCGGATCTGTCTGACCTCAAAGCCCAGACTTGCCTCCCTTATCATGCCTTCCTTCGCTCTCAGCAAATGTTACTTGACCTGTGGAATGCTGAATCCACGTTAAAAAGTATAATTACTAATATTTATAACAATGAATATAATGGTATTCCATCATTTTCAGCTGCACAGATAAATGCTGTGCAATGATTCACAACAAAACTTTCCTTTTTCTTAAGAACAGGGAAGAGCCTTTTGGTTTGAGTGAACAAGACGTAAGAGCCGTCTCTCTTACCTATAGTCTTTAGTCTCCGGGCAGATTGTTAGTCCACATGGGGGTTTCAGAAAAGCAAACCTAAGTGAGATGCATTTACTAATTAGGAGAAAAAATGGATGGGGGGCGGGATACCCATGTTACTTTCCTAGGTGAGTTGGAGGAAATGCTAATTAACCAAGTTGCAAAGAACCTTGAGAGACCTTTTAGGGGTCTTGGTGGGACAGTAATCACTTTCCACTCCTTTAATCTACTGTTTTCCAAAGTAGGAATAGTAATAATAAAAGTATATTTTGTTTAATCTACACTGATTATGTGATTCTTTTTAACTGCAGGAAAAAAAGAAACAGTTTTTATTCATTTACTTCTATAAATAAATGTATAAAATCTGTGAATAAATATAACTTGCTGAGATAAGTGACTTTTAAAGAGGACAAGGGCAATTTTAAAAGAGAGTTTTATTTTGGATAAAGTGCCTTGAGAGACTTTTAACATGGTTTTTGTTTGAAGCCCTATTGAGAATAAGACAATGATTTTGAGAAATGTTTTAAAAAAATAAAATCCCAGCTCAATTATGTAACTTTTTTTGGGGGGGGGGGCAATCAAGCAGTTTTTCTGGAACTTTCCTGGTGGTTTATAGGAGGAGCACCAACCCAGGAATGAGACCTTTTAAAATGTTCAATCTTCCCTTTTCCCGTGAAATTAACCATAGAACCATTTGACTCTCAAAAAGAAGCAGCTTGGTTCTGGGTATTGTACTTTTCACCATAGCATCCTAGTCATAATCATGTTTTGCTGTAAACATTTTTACCACATAACTAAGTGACCAAGAGGCGATTTTTCTATAAACAAGATAAAATAACTGGTTGACAGTTTTGGCTTTTGTTTGGTTGGTTTCATTTCCCCATTGACAGATCGACCACGTTCAGTCAACTTAATGTATTTAAGCTAGTCGTCAGTTTGGTTTCATTTCTCCATTGACAAGTTTCCACAGTTACTCCCGTTTTTATATTATATGTAAATTTTACCTAGGCCTCATAATGGTCTATACAATGACGAGCAGATATGGTGGTTGGTGAGGCTCTTAAAATAGCCTTTCTTTCAGGTGAGGATGATTTGCCCCAAGAGTTGGTTTCTTACTTTGAAACCCACTGCCTTGGGAAGAGAGAGTTGAACCCACATCTCCCACAGAACAAAGACAAGTGCTTAGGTGTGATCCACAAAATAAAAGCCAGTTATTTGCACATTTTTTATGTATTTAAATATGTTGTATTTCTCAATAAACTTTTAAATGTTATGTCCTTTTTAATGTCCCTCTTTTATTTTTTTGCGATCTTATCCTTTTTAAGGCAAAATTGCCTTATGGCCAATTAGTTACTCAGTGAAAAATGTTTGCAGTAAAAATTCTTGGGGCACATGTCTACAGCAAAGGTGCTACAGCAAAAATACCAGATGTGGACAAGATTAATTACCAACAAGCTATGTAGAAGCAGTAGAGGGGAGTTTTATAGAAATGATGCATTCGTGAAAGGAGAAAGACATACGATGGCCTTTAGGACCTTCTCTGTTTTTTTGGCCACTCAGCCCAGACATAGCCATTGACAATACTTTATTGCTTTTACAATATTCCCTGTGGTTCATAACCCTAATTAATTGCTGTGACACCCCACCCCCAGCCCTGAGTGTACGAAGAAGGAGGGTCAGTGTCGAGGTATGGCAGAGTGTGCCCTGGTCTAGTAGGGCTTGGTCCAGCTCAGCCAGTCACTGACCTGGTGACCTTGGATGAGTCCCCAACTTCTGTGGTCTCACCTGCCTATGTTAGGACACATGAAGATTAGATTGCACCAGGTTTTAGGCCTTCCAGCTTGAAAATGCCATTCATTCTTTGACATGTGCAAGGTCCTAGCCTGGGGGAAGCACACGCCAGGAAGATATGCTCACATGCCCACTTCCTGCACATAGTTCAGCTGCTCCTCTACAGCCTCTTTCCCACTAGAAAGGTCCAGTCCCAGAGCTGCAGCTTATTCTTTTTTTCTTTTATCTAATTGCTGTCAAAATGCTTACTTAAAAAAAAAAAGCAAGCTTCATATGTTTTTGTTGAATGGAATTTAAAGAATCTTACAATCCAGAGGAAAAATGGGCCCATTTTGCCCCAACACTGGGAAAAACAGTGTAAGCGGTATAACTGATGTCCAAAATGAACAATGCAATGAGGATACAGAGCAGCTTCAAGTGAGTAAGAACTAGGAGGAAAAGCTTTCGGGGCTGAAGCATCAGCGGGTGAAAGTGGAGGAGAATTATAGGCAGAAGGTCCGGGGAAACAGACGTGTCTCAGAAGCAGGAACTGGGCTTACAGGATAGAAGCTGAGTAATAGGGTGGCTGAGACAAGGTTCTAGATGGTTAAAAAATCTTGAACTTTGTGGTTCAGACAATGGGGAACTATTGAGAAAACTATCTTTTTGTTTGTTTGGAAAGAGAGTGAACTGCTTAGCTCTGTGGTCGAGGATCCCTCTAGCAGCAGGCTGGTAGGGTAATGCAATAACTGAGAGAGGAAGCGAAAGCCTGACCCAGGGCAGTGGGAAAGGGAAGGAGCAAATGGATTGGGACACCATGTGGCAGTAGCATTGACAGGTCTTGGTAACTCAGAAAACGGGGAAGGGGACTGAGGAAGGGGGAGAAGTAAAGACAATTTGAGTAAGTTCCCATCAAGTGAAACAGGGAACAGAGAAAGAGAAGATTTGAAGTGGACAAGTCTTGTTTTGGATGTGCTGGGTTTGAAATACTGATAGGCCCTCCTGTCCGTAAACAATTGGAAATGCTGATGTCAAGGTCTCCTGAGAGGTCAAGAGCAACTGCAGACTTGAATCATACATGTATAGGTAGAAATAGGACTAGGAGGGATCTCCCAGGGGGAATAGTGATGAGAACAGGGGCAGGGAGCTGGGGCAGGCCTCCACTGAGGGGGTGCAGAAGAGGGAATGTCTTTGAAGAGGACGAAGACGCTAGAAGGAGAACCT